CAATAGGGGAGTATTAAATACATTAAAATCTGTTAAATTATTAATTTTTGCATTCCCATTAGAAATAGACCAATGAGTCCATTATGTGAGCTATACAAACTCTATCTTGGACAGGCTTCCGAAAAATTTACAAAGGCAAAAAGACAGGACAGATACTGGGAGGGAAACAGGCTAACAGTTAAGAGCACTGAACCCTCCTCCAGGGTCCAGAGCTTGAAGACAAGCAGTGGTGTCAAGAGAGCTAACAGGAACAAGTCACTGGCCTAAAAGATGGCTGAACATACCTGTATTTGCTTAGCTGTCAGGTCCTTTGTGCCCCTAAACACATAGCTTTTGGAAATCCCTTCACAGCTCAGCTCATGGACCTGAACCATTCTGCCGAAAGTGATAAGCCCCACCAGAGCATCAGCAGGCAGCAGACTTAGGGACATCTGGAGGGACTCTTTCAGTGCCTGCAAGTCCTCCTCTTCCAAGCAGGTGTCAACAACGTACAGGAAGATCAATGGCATCTGTGGACCTCGCTAATGTGGAAAGAGATGGATTTACTAGGCGTGTGCATGTGCCAGGTGACACTTTATAAGGCCTTCAGCCAAGCAATAAAATAAGCCCTATTTTAAGCACCTTACAGAAACATTATTTATCTGCATTATCTTAAGTAAATTTAATACACACATAAGCTGTCACAAACAAGACAATTCTGGGGGCTTCAAATAATCAATGCCTATGGATTAATTTACCTGCACTATATATTCAATTGTTGAAAACTGAGGCATAAGCTCTGCTGGTTGATTGACTTCAGATATGCCTGCATATGCTGGAGGAAACTGAAAAAGAGAACAAAAAATTATGACAAGAAAGTTGCAGGTCAGAAATGTAGGGCCCTCCTCTGCAGAACAGAGGCTGCCCTGCTTATGATGTGGTTGTTCAACTCTTTACTGCATCAGCCTGAGTAGTTCATAGTAAAAGATCCATACTGCTGTTTTCCTAAGCACAAGACAACAAGTGACCCGCAGTATGGACAGCAGCTCAATCCAGTGTAAATAAAAGGTAGGACTGAAGCAGCCACTATGGATCAGCTGTAATGCATTTAGCCACACAACAGTTTCTGATGGCAAAAGTCTAATGTATTTCATACTTGGCAAGAACAGAAAACATCAAGTGCAAAAAACACACCAGAAAGACATGAGACAAAATAGCATTTTTATCCCCTTCCTATGCCCTGCATGCTGGTAAAATCACTGGCAAAACTGAACTGAAAGTAAACAAGATATCAGGGAAGCAGACTCACGAACAAGTACTCTGGCCGGGGTTCAGCAAGAGAAAAACGTCAAGGGAAGGAATCCAGAAAAGTGGAATTTAGGCTTAACATCCTTTGCCAGGGGAAGCCATCAATAAAACGTTCACTGACAAGATGGAAGGGCTGTTGCTTTTTCCAACTTACCTGATTTCTCTGAAAACAGAAGTTACAAGCCCAGAGCTTGGCCCGATAGTCAACCTGGCTGCAGAGGAAACACGAGGTGTTAGTATAAGTACAGGAACAATTTTACAGTGCAGCTTCAGAATTATCTATGCAGGTTTACAGCACTGAGGAAGAAACAGAACATCAGACACATCAACTTGTTTATGTTGATAGAGTTTAGGAATTCAGACTCTTGTTCTATTGCCAGAAGGTCCATTAGCTCATCCAGCCCTGCCATTTCAAGGTACATCAGCATGACAAGACCACTGACAGGTCTCCGGAGCCCAGCTTTTGGCAAAGACTTGGGTCTAATCATTTTTTCACTACACTCATGGTTATCTCCATCATCTTTTTGTTTGTACAGCTGCAGCACACAAGTACTCCAGTCACAGAGCAGCAGGAGCCATTCACCCAGATCCTGCGCAAACACAGAACAAATAGGCTGTTCCCTGCCCCAAAGAGTTTACTCTTCTCAGCCCATTACAACACCCTGTAACTGCTGGTGCAGCAAAGCCTGGCCATATCCTTATTTCATGAGCTTCATCTCTTCTTACTTCCTCTTATGGCCTTACTTGCTTTTTCTCAGCCTAGTGCTATGCTCCAACTATATATGATCAACACATGATTTTGGGACCGGGATTATTCCTCTTAAATTCTCAGCAGATCTTCAAATAACACCTTAATGCTCATACTGGAAGTGGTCTACAAGCCACTTCCAAGTGGTCTACAAGGATGTGTAGGAAACAGAAAACTGAATGAACAACACAGTCCAGAGGACAATATCAGTATAATCAGTATAATTTCATCATACACCACAAAATTCTCTAGGATGCCAAGAGGATTGGCCATTTCCACATCAGCTCTGCCTTAACAGCCTCCCCAAAGGCACTCCTCTGCCCTCTGCTTCTAACAGCTCTAGTAATGGGCTGGCACTCAACATATCTCATTAGGCACTCATGGATTTTAATAAATCCACTATATCTAAATGAAAGAGGCTACCAGGCATCAGGCAGAGAAAAAGGTGAATAAGGAAGTAGTGAAGTTCAGATAAAAACTAGGTACTATCCAGCCTCCCTTAGCATCCCCAGCCAAGAAATTCGTACCAGAGCGGGTTGAGCACTGCTTTGCAAGTCGGCCTGCTACAAAGCACCGGTTCATATTGCACAGGTGGCAGGTCCAGACGCTCCTTCAGTGGGGTCAGAAGACAGGCCAGGGGAACAACCATCCTCGTGGCCTCCAGCCTGCTGGAGGGCCACACATTCCAGCTGAAACGCACTCCGTCACGCTCCTCATTTTGCTGGATGAACTCCAGGTATGTCGCCATGAGACTAGAGAAGCTCTGAAAGGACATAAGCAACACGCATTCAGGAGAACAGTCCTGCAAAGGAGATCAGCAGATCAACTACATAAGGCACAAGACATTGCAGGACAAAGCCAATATGTTATAATGAGTTAATCCCATTATCAAATGAACCGTGTGACTACATTAATTTCTTCTGTCCACTGCTTCTCATCAACATCTCAGACAACTAAAACCCCACCAAATCCAATGAAGAAACAAGGAAATCTGACACTCAAAGCCAGCACGCAAGGTTGTTTTTCTTGTGATCCACATTTAACATCCTAATATCCACTCAGCCTCGGGCTGGCCTCAAGGCAATCCTGCCTGACTCGGGTCAGTAAAGGAAAACAGGCCAGATTTGCAACACATCCTGAAGCCTTCAGCTAAAATCTTGGGGGAAGAAAAGGAGGCCAAGTCTGAGACCAAAACACTCATCACAAGTGTCATCTCATTGACAGCTTGCCCTGCTTACAGACGGAAAGGAGCATAAGACAAAAAAGTCTTTGGTGATTTTAGATACTCTCTGTGCATGGTATTGTGTCCCACTCTCAGTAAGGGAGGAACTGAGAGTTCAGCAGACTTCAGAAAAGACATGCTATTAAAGGAGGATTATCTCCAACACACCAGAGAGTCACTCTCTCTATTGCCTTACTAAACTCTTCAGAGTAAGATGCAAACAAGACTTCCCAGGCCATCATTACCTTTGATGCCTCTGAGAAAGAGAAAGACAAGCCTAGTGAAAACTCACTCGTCAAATCCAGCCCACAAACACCACACAGCACTGGCAGCAACTCACAGAGCTGAGAGCAGCAGCACCACAACCCACTCCAACCAAGGAAACTCAGAAGTTCATCTGTGGCTGCAGATTCTCCAGGATTACCTTACTCCTGCTCCCCACTGCAGGCAGGAGATTCAGGAGAGCCATTGGTGAGAGAAGTCAGAAGCATCACGTCCTCCAAAGGAGGGAAAGTTTGGATGCAGCATTTTCCTACAAACCTCCAAACTCCTTGCTGCTTTCTTTGTCCTTGCTAATAAGGATGTAAATCAAGCTCATAGGCATTACCCTGGATTTCCACCCCCACCTCTGGACAGACAAACAAAAGGCTTCAGCAACACAGGCCCATTACAAATGAGTCTGTGAGGGGAAAAGTTAGAGCTGAGCCTCCCTGTAAAAGATCCTGCACATCAGAACAGCAACACCTGACATCTCAGGTATGCAGCACAAACGCAGTGCAAATTTCCTCCATGTTCCTCCAGCTGCAGCCCATTACCACTCCCCTGCCCCAGGCCAGGGGGGCTGTAAGGAACACCACACGTTCTCCAGCTGCTGCATCCAGCACAGCCATAGAGGCCACCACAGATCCCTAGCCCTCCACCAGGAAATGTATAGAGGACCTCACAGATCCCTAGCAAACCTGTAGGGCCACCTCTAACCCCTATGCCACTGACCGCCAGCATAGTCCCAGGGGACACAGCTGACCCCAGTCCTACTCTGTGGGACATTGTCAGGCCTCAGCACCCTCAGCACAGCCTCAGGGGACACTGCCAATCCCCCAGCCAGGCAAAGCTACAGGGCACACTGCTCAGCCCCTGCGCTGCTCTGTGGGACACTGCCGATCCCCACGCAAGCACTGCTGTAAGGGACGCCACTGACCATATAGGGGACGCCACAGACCCCTCAGTTCCACCCACAGGGGACATCATTGACCTCCCACAATCCCCACACATAGGGAACACCAGTCTGCCAGCCCCCGCCTACAGGGGACCCCGCTGACCTCCCTCCCCACAGTCCTTCCTCACAGTGGACGCTGACTCTCCAGCTCCGCTACAGGGGACACCACCATCCACAGACCCCAAGACGGCCACAGGGGACGGGGACCCCCAGCACACCCCTTCCGTAGCCCC